ACTAGAAGCATTGATGCATATATAACATTTCCCACAACTCATTAGGAGCTCTTGCAGTTTACTGACCAAGATTAATCTTGAATTTATTTGAAAATCCAAACTTGTTCAGTTTTAAATAACTCACTCAGAGCAAAACTAAGCTAAAGGTTAGTCCAAACAATCTTGTTTTTTGTTAATTCCCAAGCAAAGTCATAATTTGCATTTCTGTAAAGCTCAAAGAGTTGAAGGAATTATGTCACTACCAGCATTTAGCAGTGAATAGGGCAGTTGCATAGAAAATGATCCATTACTTACGCAAAGAAATATGAAATTTCAAACCTTTCAACTGTCCTGGGTTTTACCGGATTGTAGTGATGTTAAAGGGACACTATAGGCACCAAGACCACTTCAGCTCATTGACGTGGTCTGGATGCAGTGTCCCTATTGCACTTAGTGCTGCATTGTTTACATTGCAGCGCTAAGTCTGCCTCCAGCAGCTGTCTCCCAGACAGGCACTGGAGGCACTACCTGCATCATAGCGGACCTTTTGTCCGGTATCTGACACTGGACGTCCCCACACTTTGCATGAGGACATCCAGCGTCAGATTTTTGCCCACAGGAAAGCATAGATTCAAATGATATTATCTAATACATGGTGCATTTGCTGTGCATGCGCATTAGCGCCCGCTCATTGCGGGTTACAGGGGCGGAGCCACGATCCAGCACCGAGGGACATCAGCATTGGGATAATGTAAGTAAATTAAGGTTTATTAACACTTTATACACGGGGCAGGGGGAAGAGGGAGGGGAGTTGCGATGGAGGGGAGAGGCAGAGAGTCTGTAGTGCCAGGAATACAGCTTTGTATTCATTGCACTTATAGTATCCCTTTAAAGAGGAACTGCAACTTGGCTGATTGTAGCAAAAACAGATAGCAAACTAAAGATTAGCCATTGGTTGTGCTATTTTTTTTAAGACTATTTCTGTCTTTGTAGTTACAAGTTAATTCTCGCAGTGTTGAACAGAATTTCTCCATTAGATGCTCGGGAGAGCATATACATGCCTGAGATGCCACAACACAGATAAACTACAGATAAATACATTTTTACGTTATTCACCACAGCAAATGCTGATATAGTGTTTACTAGGTGAAGGCACAAGCTGTCTCCTTCAAGCCAGGACTCATTATCTTGGTTTGTCACTTCTTGAACAAGATAAGAATATATCTATAACTGTCTGTAACGTTTATTACATAATGTGGTTAAATTAAAGAGTGATGCATTTACCATGGCACTGGCGTAGCAAGGGGGTCCCCTCTTTTCCCCTTCACAGACCCCCTCCCTCCCTGCTCAGGTCCCTGCACTCCCCCTTCACAGACCCTCGCCCTCACTGCTCAGATCCCTGCACTCCCCTTTCACAGACCTCCTCAGGGAGCTATCTACTAAACAGTGCCCTAATTTGGTATCCTTAAATATGGCAATTCCACATAAAGGTACTAATTTAGGAAGTTCTCTACAACAGCTGAAAGGTCAAAATTAAGAAAAGACGTTTTCTTAATTTTGATATTTCAATTGATTAGTAGATCACAAATAAGGGAGTTATCTACTAAACAACTAAAATATCAAAATTAATAAAACGGCTTTTCTTAATTTTGATATTTTAATTGTTTAGTAGATTACTCCCTTATTTGTTACCCTTATGTGGGATTGCCATATTTAAGGATACCACATTAGGGAGCTATCTACTAAACACATAAACATTTATGTACACACTCAACCACAGATATACACACAGAGGCATTTGTATGTGTGTGTATCTGTGGTTGTGTGTATATAAATATACACACAATCACAGACATATACCCATATAATTACAGATATGCACATAATCACAGACCCATACACACATACAATCACAGATCTACACACTTAACTAAAACACACACTTTTAACCACAGATATACACACAACACACACATTTAACCACAGACAAACACACAATCACACACACACCCAAAGACATACACAAACACAATCATCCACATAACCACAGACATACACAAACACAATCACATACACACTTAATTACTGACATACATACACAAAAATGACATTCATACACATTTAGTACCTAAGAGTTCCACCCAGCCTTCCTACTTTGATCTGGGGTTGCTGGAGTGGATTAATGGTCCCTGGTGGCCAATAGCTACTGCCTGCAGGGATCTCTGTGCTCTTCCTGCACATGTCCGTCGCACGCCCAGTAGTGATGATGGGAATATGTCATATCCTGGTTGCCAGCTCACTTCATGGTGCACGAGGGCTGTGCAGAAGGAGCACAGTAAGTAAAGTGCTCCCTGCCCCGATGGCCGAACACTGGGATTTTAAGGGAAGTGGGGGGGGGGGTGGCTGACACTGGAGGCACATAATTGCATGGGCCAACCGATGGGCACCCTCTGCGTGGCACCCCCCTACTGAGTGGCACCCAGGGTTGACTGTTCCCCCGCCCTGTCCTATACCAATGATACCAACAGTTTTCATTACAGTTATCATTAGTGGGCTAACATACCCCGTCAAATAATCCACTAAAAAACTTAAAAACAAAATTATATTTCTTTGGAAACATAGAATGTGACAGCAGATAAGAACCATTCGGCCCATCTAGTCTGCCCAATTTTCTAAATACTTTTATTAATCTCTAGCTAGGATAGCCTTATGCCTATCCCACATATGCTTAATCTCAGTCACTGTGTTAACTTCTACAACTTCAGCTGGAAGGCTATTCCATCCATCCATTACCTTCTCAGCCATGTAATACTTCCAGATATTATTTTTGAACCTTTGCCCCTCTAATTTAATTGCTTTGAGAAATTGGAACAAACCAGAAAACTGTGTATTTTACTGCAAACAAGGTGGCAATGAGCAAGCTATTTTAAATCTAAAAAATCACTTTGAAATCCTAACATTTCACAGATTATAGAATAATGAGATAATTAAAGCCTGCTAAAGAGACACTGTACACTTTATTTAAGGGAAATAAAAATATCTGTTTATATACACCACATTTATACACAAAAAGTGCCAATATATATAAAAAAAATACTTTTAATGTGCAAAAATGTAGAATTTTATTTTGCCATTTTCTCAAAATGTTTAACATTTAAGGACGAGTTATTAAATATGCCCAGATAAAAAAAGGCAATTAATTTTTAAGTTCCATAATTTTGATCCTGCAGTTGACACAGAAATAAAAACAGTCGGAAAAATCTTGCAAATGGCTTTTTTTTATTTTTACAAATAATAGTTTTCTAGCAGAACTGGAAACACTGTACAAAAGAGTGAAAATTACAATATCCATTGTCAGATATATGCTTGTTCTTTTTTTCACATTATGGTTTAGCACTTTAATGTGCCAACTAAATAGCTTCAAAAAAGGATACATTTAACATACGCTAGTATTTAAATAGTTCCTGAGTATTATGTTATTGTTAACCAACTTAAAGGACCACTATAGGCATCCAGACAACTTCAGCTTAATGAAGTGTTCTGGGTGCCAGGTCCAGCTAGGGCTAGCCCTTTTTTCTATAAACATAGCAGTTTCAGAGAAACTGCTATGTTTATATTAGGGTTAATCCAGCCTCTAGTGGCTGTCTCATTGACAGCCGCTAGAGGCGCTTGCGTGCTTCTCACTGTGATTTTCACAGTTAGAAGACGCCAGCATCCATAGGAAAGCATTGTGAATGCTTTCCTATGAGACTGGCTGAATGTGCGAGCGGCTCTTGCCGCGCATGCACATTCAGCCGAGGAGGCGGAGAGGAGGAGGAGAGCTCCCCGCCCAGCGCTGGAAAAAAAGGTCAGTTTAACCCCTTCCTCACCCTAGAGCCCGGCGGGAAGGGGACTCTGAGGGTGGGGGCATCCTCAGGGCACTATAGTGCCAGGAAAACGAGTATGTTTGCCTGGCACTATAGTGGTCCTTTAATGGCAGCAATTTTATTACTGAGAGAAGTTTCAAGAACTGTGTAATTAATACATATTAAAAAATTCATAGATTTTAGAGTTTTCTGTGGTGTTACTAAGACAAAAATGTTGCTCAATATCTCTTCAGACCCACAATATATTTGTATATATGTGATTGTCTATATGCAATACAGTGGTTCACTGGCATTGCTCCTGCTCCTGAGTTGTATACAGCAGACACATACTCCAAGGAATCCATGTATAAAGTAGAATTATGAGATGAAAATATGGTTCTTTGTTGAGCTCATTTGCACATGCCTACCCAGAATCCTACTCAGAATCCCTTGCAGTAGTTAGAGCACTGTGGAAGTGAGATTTTTGTGGGAAAAGCAAGACTTATGACTTGACTGGTGTGTGCATTTGTGTTTAGCAATGCATCAACTATCCAATTACTTCAGTTGGTAGGGGTTTTCATCTACACTTTTTTCCCAACAACAAATTTTTGATATGTACTTTACAAGTAACGCAAAGCCTCCATAGCAAGCCAGTAACCAACCTCATGCTGATGAGTTGCATTACCAATGAAATGGCTGTCTATGAGTGGTTCACTGGCATTGCTCTTCTTCCTGTGTTGTGTTTCAAAGCTGCTGTATACAGCAGACACATACTCCAAGAAATCCATTGAATTATGATGCAAAAATATGGTTCTTTGTTGAGCTGATTTGCATATGCCTACCCGGAATCCGGTTCGCCACGGTTCGCCACGGTTCGCCACGAGCTGTTCGCGGCGAACTCTGGTCAGCTGACACGTCCCGGCCAATCTCCAGCAGACCCTCCCTCCCAGACCCTCCTACTTCCTGGACAGCATCCATGGTCAAGAATTACTCCTGACCGTTGTGCACGTCTGATCTGCAACTACAGGAAACGTTTGGTTGAAGTTATTGCTGCCAAAGGAGGTTCAACCAGTTATTAAATCCAAGGGTTCACATACTTTTTCCACCTGCACTGTGAATGTTTACATTACAGCTGTTCGCGGCGAACTCTGGTCAGCTGACACGTCCCGGCCAATCTCCAGCAGACCCTCCCTCCCAGACCCTCCTACTTCCTGGACAGCATCCATGGATGCTGTCCAGGAAGTAGGAGGGTCTGGGAGGGAGGGTCTGCTGGAGATTGGCCGGGACGTGTCAGCTGACCGGAGTTCGCCACGAACAGCTCGTGGCGAACCGTGGCGAACTGTTCGCGAGATGTTCGCGGACGGTTCGCGACATCTCTACATGTAAACATTCACAGTGCAGGTGGAAAAAGTATGTGAACCCTTGGATTTAATAACTGGTTGAACCTCCTTTGGCAGCAATAACTTCAACCAAACGTTTCCTGTAGTTGCAGATCAGACGTGCACAACGGTCAGGAGTAATTCTTGACCATTCCTCTTTACAGAACTGTTTCAGTTCAGCAATATTCTTTGGATGTCTGGTGTGAATCGCTTTCTTGAGGTCATGCCACAGCATCTCAATCGGGTTGAGGTCAGGACTCTGACTGGGCCACTTCAGAAGGTGTATTTTCTTCTGTTTAAGCCATTCTGTTGTTGATTTACTTCTATGCTTTGGGTCATTGTCCTGTGGCAACAACCATCTTCTGTTGAGCTTCAGCTGGTAGACAGGTGGCCTTAAGTTCTCCTGCAAAATGTCTTGATAAACATGGGAATTCATTTTTCCTTCGATGATAGCAATCCATCCAGGCCGATGCAGCAAAGCAGCCCCAAACCATGATGCCCCCACCACCATACTTTACAGTTGGGATGAGGTTTTGATGTTGGTGTGCTGTGCCTTTTTTTCGCCACACATAGTGTTGTGTGTTTCTTCCAATAAACTCAACTTTGGTTTCATCTGTCCACAGAATATTTTGCCAGTACTGCTGTGGAACATCCAGGTGCTCTTGTGCAAACTGTAAACGTGCAGCAATGTTTTGTTTGGACAGCAGTGGCTTCCTCTGTGGTATCCTCCCATGAAATCCATTCTTGTTTAGTGTTTTACGTATTGTAGATTCGCTAACAGGGATGTTAGCATTTGCCAGTGACTTTTGTAAGTCTTTAGCTGACACTCTAGGATTCTTCTTCACCTCATTGAGCAGTCTGCGCTGTGCTCTTGCAGTCATCTTTACAGGACGGCCACTCCTAGGGAGAGTAGCAGCAGTGCTGAACTTTCTCCATTTATAGACAATTTGTCTTACCGTGGACTGATGAACAGCAAGGCTTTTGGAGATACTTTTATAACCCTTTCCAGCTTTATGCAAGTCAACAATTCTTAATCGTAGGTCTTCTGAGAGCTCTTTTGATGAGCGCTCTTGGAGATGTCATTAGTCTAGGGGTTCACATACTTTTTCCACCTGCACTGTGAACGTTTACACGGTGTGTTCAATAAAAACATGGCAACCTTTCATTCTTTGTGTGTTATTAGTTTAAGCAGACTGTGATTGTCTGTTGTTGTGACTTCGATGATGATCAGATCACGTTTTATGACCAATTTGTGCAGAAATCCATATCATTCCATAGGGTTCACATTATTTTTCTTGCAACTGTATGATATATCAAACAAAAACATGAGAGCTCTCTGTCCTCTTCTGATTGGTTGATTGGTCTCCATCTCTTGAACCTCTCCTGATCTTGTTGATGCCATAGAAGGATCATTGGTATGGATAATTATAAATTATATTTTTCTTATATAGATAATTAAATAATTGTAAATAGATATTAGCAGTTTTGTTAGACATTTATGTATGCTTGTTAGACATTTATGTATGCTTGCTTTATGCTTGCCTATTTCTTTCTATAGTATCTTTATTTGTCAGTTTGTTCACTGGTTGCACACATCCAGTTTTGTTCACTTCTTCAAATTTTTTTGCACTTTACTCACTTCACACTCTAGTCACTATTTGCTATTCACTACCTCCCCCACGCCCCCACAGACATAAACACACACACACACATATACACACACACAGACACACATAGTCCTCTCACTCACAGAGTTTTCAGTATCACCTCATTTCAGACATCTTTTATACCATCTTATCTTTTGCCTCACTTGGGCATTATATTGGTGGACATATTATGTTACAGATTCCTACATTATGTTACAGATTCTTATATTATTTAGTTTATCCTGATATGGCCACATCCTGATTTTTGTTTATTTTTAATCGTTTGTTAATCCTCTTTGCATGATTTGAATTCACTGTCCTCATGATCCATCACTTTAATTATTGTTTAGAATCACTAAGGTAACAGCACGTTAGTAACGTAACATGTCATCACGTCAGCGTTACGTCATCACGCACGCACGGGTTGACGCACACAGGGGTATTCCGTTAGTCGGATCGACAGGAGGAGTGGGAAACTAAGTGTATCAGGGTGATTGGGAAAGTTTTAATCCTTTTTCACTTAGATGTTATAAATTTTACACATTTCATGACTTGAAGCATCTTGATAAAGACCTCTAGATGGTCGAAACGTTGATGGAATTTATGCTATTGTAATACAAATCACTTGAATTTATTCACCAAAACCAGTGAGTGCTCTAAGTTTTTGTTTGATGTTTATTGTGGTGGGAAAAGCACCGTGGTATATTTAAAGATACATATTTTTGGGGCATATGGGAAGAGTGCCAGAAACAACCCTCCTTTTTTAGATATATAGATATAGATGCGAGAACTGATATAGTTACTTAGCATATTATGCAACAATTAATTCATTTCAAAAAGCATGAAAACAACCGCAAGCTATTCTGTTATTTTGTGTGTATAGCTTCATTCATGTTTTATGATGAAAACAACACATTTCAGATTAATATATTTTGCTACAACAAAACAACAGATAATAAATGTATTCTATAACATAAGACTTGTATCCATGACATCTCAGGGTAGTAATGAGCAAATATTCTATTTGAAATGTATATTTATACACATATTCATAGTGTATAAATATACAAAAAATAACCTTCTATAAATGATCAGTGTAGACAGCTGCACAGAGATATAGATGATTCTGTCAACATGTATAAAATATTATATGAAAAGCGACAGGTAATATTTTGGGGTTTACATGATGTGACTGTTTTTCTACAGGATATATGCATTCTGTCTTGAGATATATAATTTTTCTAGACATAAAACCGTGGCATAAGCCAGGTTATTTATACCACAGGTGCAAAAGGTCCTTATATGTGCATAACAATTAATGTCATAATTATAATAAGAAATATAAAGTAAATATTCAGTATTTCTAAGCAGTTTTAAGGCAATGGTTTTGTTCATTTGTTTGGAAATATATATATATATATATACATACACGAAAACAGACAAATTCAAGTAACAATGGCACTAATAAACAGACCAAAGAAACATTCAAATGAAGCTACTGTGTCACACAGTGTATAAACCAAAAATGACAATCAGTACAATATTAAAAACAAATAAGGTGTGCTGTGTCTTTAACCCCTTAAGGACGGAGCCAAATGTACACATTGTGAACAAAACAAAATGTAAACAAAACCTGGCATTTGCGCTACATGTCTGTCCAACCGTAATACACCTCTTTCATAGTAAATGCACCCACCCTTATTATATATCATTTTATTCAGGGGAAACAGGGCTTTCATTTAATATCAAATATTTAGCTATGAAACATAATTTAATATGAAAAAAATGGGAGAAAATACGTTTTTTTGGATTTTTTTAGTTCTACATGACATTTTAACGGTCAATGTCATAATACTGTTTGCTTTTACTGCAATAAAATACACATATTTATATTCAGTAAAGTCTCACGTGTAAGACAGTACCCCCTATGTACAGGTTTTATGGCGTTTTGGGAAGTTACAGGGTCAAATATAGCACGTTACATTTGAAATTGAAATTCGCCAGATTGGTTACGTTGCCTTTGAGACTGTATAGTAGCCCGGAATGATTTACACCCATAATGGCATACCATTTGCAATACAACCCTGGGTAGCTGGGGTATGTCCAGTCTTTTTAGTAGCCATTTGGTCACAAACACTGGCCAAAGTTAGCGTTAGTATTGTTTGTGTGAAAATGCAAAAACGCCAATTTTGGCCAGTGTTTGTGACTAAGTGGCTACTAAAAAGACTGGACATACCCTGTTTGCAATACCTTGGGTTGTCTACTATTGCAAATGGTATGCCATCATAGGGGTAATTTTCATTCTTGGGCTACCATAGGGTCTCGAAGGCAACATAACCAATCTGGCGAATTTTAATGTGAAAAAAATGAAATGCAAGCCTTATATTTGACGCTGTAACTTTTGAAAACACCATAAAACCTGTACATGAGGGGTACTGTTGTACTCGGGAGACTTCGCTGAACACAAATATTTGTGTTTCAAAACAGTAAAAAGTATCACAGCAATAATATCGTCCGTGTAAGTGCTGTTTGTGCGTGAAAAATGCAAAAAACTTCACTTTTACTGGCGATATCATCGTTGTAATACATTTTACTGTTTTGAAACACTAATATTTGTGTTCAGCGAAGTCTCCCGAGTAGAACAGTACCCCCCATGTACAGGTTTTATGGTGTCTTGGAAAGTTATAGGGTTAAATATAGTGCTAGCAAATTAAATTCCCTTTACTTTCGGCATGGGTTGTCAGGCAGGTCCTGCTAATTGTAATTAATTAAGATACCTAATTATGTAAAAATATTACATAAATATATATGTAGAATTAATATATGTATATATATACGTATGTGTATATATATATGTATATATCTATATAATTTTTTTAAAATATTTTTATTTATATATAGGTATATATATAGTGATATATACGTATATATTTATGTATATAGATATATATATTATTTCGTTCTACGTGTATTTTGATATATATATATATATATATATTAATTTCACAAAACAGTTAGAACGAAATAACACACATCTATATATTTTTAATTATTTATTTTTAATTATTTTTTTAATTTTATTTTTTAACGTATTTACATTTTTATTTTTTTTATATTATATATAAATATATATATAACAATAATTATATATATATTTAATCAGTATCAGTCTACGTGTAATTTGATATTAATATATATAATTATATATATATTAATAGTAAAATACACCTAGACGGTGTATGTGTGTGTATGTATATG